GTGTGGCCGAGACCTCCGGGAACTCTGAACGAACACGATCATGGATAATCACCGTGTGTTCAAACAGTGACGTCCAAGTCTTGAGGACGGTAAAAAATGGGGTGTCTACAGCATATATTCATTGCACTTCTCTTTATTTAATTCCTCTGATTCGTTGACTATTACCTTTTCAAAGCAGATATTCACTTACAACTTTGTGAGTCTACTTATTGAATTTCATTCATTGATGAATTCCATGAAGAAAACTTTTAACATTATGGAGTTGTTATTTACTATCCTTTCACGTATTTAAAAATAAATAAATTCTAAGAATTTTTTTTTCCTGAGCTTACTTCATACTTTTTTTGATATGTACTCTTAACTTTTAACATTTTACTTGTTTTAAGTCATTATTTTCTTGGTTTTCGTTATAATTTTTTTTTTTGGGGGTCTCCCAAATGATCAAGTCTCTCTGTTCATTACAATTATTGTATTGCACAGTACTCGAGTTTGATTGTATTTCTTTCCTGTTTTGCACTTGATTCTCTTGCATGTCAGGTTTGAAGACTTCAAGCAGCTCTTGGTGAGCAAACAGAAATCACAAAATATAGCCAGTAGGGGTATGAAAGACTTCAAAATGTAATATTCTTAAGTTTATGGCTTTAATATTTTTTTCACATTCAATATAAATCTGTTATAGGACTTTATACTAATTTTATACTAATCAAATTACATGTTTTACTGTTCCACATTATTTTTTATTACACCTTGTGCTTATTAGATGTTTGAATACAGTTTTTTAACAATTAAGTTCATAAGAAATTTACATATTTTGATGTGCATGGTATATGTACTTGTGTCAAACCGCGTTACTCATTAAATAGTTGCACTTACATAAATCCTAAAATCGTGAAACAACCACGAGATGGCCCGGGTAATACCTCAAACACCTCGAGAGGGACCAATGTGAGTTGTGGAAACTTACGGAACTAGCACAGGACTCCTAGTTAGAAAACTAAGTCTAAAAATGCACTTTTTCACACTTAAGATTGAAAATAGGCCATCGGAGGCCAAAATCGTGCAACAGCCACGAGACGCCCCGAGTAACACCTCAAACACTTTGGAAGGGACCAATGTGAGTTGTAGAAACTTACGGAAGTAGCACGGGACTCCCGGTTAGAAAACTAAGTCCAAAAATGCACTTTTTCACACTTAAGATTGAAAATAGGCCATAGAAGGCCAAAATCGTGCAACAGTCACAAGACGA